GAGGATATATTCTCATTGATTTTAGAGAGAGGGAGAGAGAGAGAAACATCCATGTGAGAGAGAAACATTGATCGGCTGCCTCCCGTATGCACCCCAACCTCAACCTGGGTATGTGTCAGGCCAGGGATCGAACCAGCAACCTTTTGGCGCCCTGGACGATGCTCCACCCAGCAGAGCCACCTGGCCAGCGTGTACCTTTCATTTTTGACTGCTATAGAAAGTTGTGTAGCAGAAATAATTTATTTTCTGCTTTAGATAATTTAATTGTAACTAATACAATAATTTCAGCATATTTTTCATGTCCAGTGGCCCAAAATCACCCCTTCTGAAACTCAAGCTCTTCAAATCTGCTTAAAGATTTTCCTTTTCAATAGACCACATTTCTTTCTTTTTTTCCTGAACAGTTATAAAGAAGAGTTCTAAGTAATGGTATCAAGAAGATATTTATGAAAGCAGATTTTTACATGAGGGAAATCTATGAGGAAATATCCATATTAGCCAAATGTGCAGAGTTATACAAGATATACGCTCTGTAGTTGAATGAAACTTATAAATCAAGAAATCACAAGCAGAATGTTTTTCTTTATGGTTCCCTATCACAAGTAATTGCAATAATTTTTTACATGCCTATAATTTCCTATGTGCCTTAGTGTGCTCTATCATTCTCGAAGATGCCTGTTAGGGACAAAAAAAATCTTTAAGAAAACACTAAAAAAAAGCAGAGGCCTTTTCCAGTATTGGTTTTAACTTCTGGTTTATCAATAATCAATCATTAAACTCAAGGGTAGCCCTAGAAATAGAAATTTATCTGGCTAGATGGGCATTTCAGGCAGAGAGGCAACAGCGGGGTCACAAACAGGGCATACTGGGCCATACTTGGGGCAAAGGTTTTCCAGATTTCCTTTCTTGTTTTCTGTAGCATGTGGGTCATGGGGGAAGCGTAGTAGAAGAAATAGAACCAGGCCTGAACAATACAGGACTTTGACCGCTGCATTCAGGCTATTAGTCTTTTTTTTTTAAAATATATCTGTATTGATTTCAGACAGAGGGAGGGAGAGAGAGAAACATCAATGATGAGAGAGTCATGGATCAGCTGCCTCCCGCGCGCCCCCTGCTGGGGATCGAGCCTGCGGCCCGGGCCTGGGCCCTGACCGGGAATCGAACCGCGATCTCCTGGATCCCAGGTCGATGCTCAAACGCTGAGCCACTGGGTCCGGGCCAGACTATTCGTCTGTATCCAGTAGGTGATCAGGAGCCTGTGTGTATGAGCAGCCCTGTGACAGTCCTTTGTCATTTCCAGCGTGCCTTTGCCAAGCAGCGCTGTAGGCATTAGGGGTGTGTCCCTGAACCAATCAGCTGAATAGCCCTGATCTCAGGGAGCTCACAGGCAAAAATAATAATAAAGCAAATTATAGGCTGTGTTAAAATGGTACAAGTCCTACTGAAATGGGGCAAAGCAGCTCGCAGGAAGGCAGGGTGGGGGGGTTTGCAGAGGAGGTGGGGGTTCCCCTTTCAACAGGCGGACAGTAGGCCTCCCTGAGCAGGCCCTGGAAGGGGGGCGGCGGCGGAGGGAGCTCAGTGGGTAGCGGGGAGCATCCGGGCAGAGGGGGGAGCTAGTGCACATCGCCTGTTGCCTTAGTGGGGGACAGCGTGGTGGCCAGAGCGGACGGAAGGGACGGGGCAGGAGGTGAGGTCAGAGGGAGCTAGGGGCTGAGCAGAGCCATAGGGCCGCCTCGTAGGCGTTGGGAGGGTGCTGGCTTCCACTCGCAGTGAAAATAGAGTCATCGGAAAGCTTTGAGCAGAGGGCCACGATCTGATTTTGGCGTTAACAGTATCACTTTGGTCTGTTCAAAATTAAGTGTAGGTGGGTGAAGGTGGAAGCAGGGAGGCAGATTAGGAGGCGATGAGAATTCTAAGAGGGGGCGGTGGCTTGCATCAGACCCCTGCTTTGAGAAGATGACTTGGCCCTGAGTGGAGAAGGGAAGCCCAGGTGACTATCGGGGCTGCTGCCTGCTGCTGATTCCAGGCTAAACTGGGACAGTTTCCCTGAGGACAGAAGGAAGAGGGCGCTGCGGGCAGGTCCCCGAGGGCCTAGCCAGCTGCTTGGCTGTGGTGCAGGGAAGGAAGGAAGGGGAGGAAACCAAGGGGCCATGGGAACCTTAAGCCTGGATAAATGGAATGCAGATGTCACCATTAATAAATGTCACCCTCCCTTTGGAAGGCCCGGCTGACCCTCTGAGACATTTTGCCTACTTTGTGCTCGTGCTGTGTTCCCACTGGGTTATGAATTGTACCCCTGCCCCCCACCTAGAAGTGGTCTTTTAGAATTGTGGCAGTGTTAAGGAATAATTAGGAAGGTAAAATTTAAGAATTATGAAAGACTTGACGAGTCTAAATTAGCATATAGTTTGTATAGGGAGCATAATTAATTAGCCACTGGAAGACCGTACAGTGTAGTGGTCAAATTGAGTTTGGGAGGCGGCCTGGAAGATGTGTTTGGAGGAAGGCCCGTGGGTGCCAGGGGAGTGCTCTTCGGGATGATGCCTGACCCCCTGCTTACACAAAAAGGGGTGTCTGTGAATCTGAGATGACCACGACCTGTTTCAATTCAGTAATTCAATCCTAACATCCTAGAGCTTAATTACACTCACCGAAAAGGTCATATCTTGACTAAGATTTATTATCAAGTACTAACCAGATCTGTGGTCCTTTGGCAAGTCACTGATCGTCTTCAAGCTTTAGTTTCATCATTTGTAAAATGAGAGCTTTTGACCAGATCTCAAATTCCATCCAACTTTAATAGTCTCTAACTCCATAAGGTGTGATTTAATATGGACAAAAATATGTTAATTTAAAAAAGAAAAAAAAAAAGCAAGTCTCTCCTTATAGACAAGGTAAAAAGGTTGCTAGCAATACTTTTTTCCTTGTGTCTGTCCCCCCATATTAAACCGTCAACATATATTCAGTTGAGAGAGAGATTTAAAGCATCCCAGACATATGTGTGCCTTACCTTAGAGTATTTCACCAAATCCAATTCTATTTTCCCCTGATTTACATTCTCACTTAGATATAGATCTGTTTCCAGGACTTGCTTGAAGAATGTACAATCCGTCCAATAATAACACAGGTGGACAGGCCCATATCTGGATGGTAACTGGGTAGCTGAGGCACTTTTGAGACTTTGGCACTTTGCACTCTGATTTTACATTACAGGAGATCACGAAGCTTGTTACTGTGTATAAAACACCTTTGGGTAATCCACTGGGAAAATTAAAGAGAAAATACCAGCTAGAGATAGCCCCATGGAGATCTCTCTTAAAATGGCTTC